CTCTCTCTCTCAGGTTCCTCCCACGCTGGCAGTAGGGAGTGGCTGAGGACCACAGGGTGGGACCCCAAGTGAGGGGAAGCCAGGTGGCCTCCACCTGGGGCCTCTGGAGCCTTCTCCTACCCACTGCCAGCCTCACGCCCCTCAGCACCAGCAGCCACGCCAGGCTGCGCCACCCACGTTCAGGCCCCTTCTCCTTTCTGGTGGGCTCTTCCTACGTACTGCCCAATTCTTGAAGGCAGCAGGAAACCTGTGTCCCCAGCAGCCAACAGCTCCCCTCACCCAGGGTTACTCAGAGGGGCCCCCAACTATCAAAAGGACGCACACGCCAGCATCTCCTGACTTTCCAAAGCCACGCTACAGGAGGCTGCTGGGCCCTGGAGCCTTTCAGGCTGGCACTAAGCAGACCGCACAGCCCCTGACCCACCCGCCAGCCCCTGTGTCCAGACACTGAGGCCTGCCCTCCCCATGGCGGCGAGCTGGGAAGGAGTCGGAGCAAACACACACAGACCGTCGGGAGCCCGGGAGGGCAGGATGGGTTAAGCGGCAGATTAATGCATCTCTACTCAGACGAGGGAAGCAGAAGTGAGGAGGGGCAGGAGGGGGCGCCTGGTCTCTGATGCATCCGTCATCCTCACGGTCAAACTCAAATGCAGCCAGCCAGGACTCTAACTAGAAGCCGAGCTCAGAGCCTCGGAGTGAATGAAGCATTCTGCATGATGGGTGTGGGGGTCATGACGCCCAGGCGGCGGCGGTGGCACTTACATCACTCATGAGCCCCTTAAACACCACCAGCTCGGCCTTTAGCCGCTCAATCTTCTCGTTCATCTCCTCCTGGATGGCATCAGCCTCCTGTGCTGCCTGCGGGGACGGAGACGGGGATGATTTAGAGGGGCCAGGCACCCTGGCGTGCCTTCATGCCAGGGAACGGGTACCAAGGACCCCGCCCCAGCTGGGCTTCCCAATGAGCCCTGCTGAGTGCTCAAAACACTTTCAAAGGATTATTTATCATATGGAAAAGTCCATGGCAGACATAAAGAGAAAGAGGAGATTAGAGTAACAAGCTATCCCAACATATTAAAATATTAGACCGGTCTAATGTGAAATTGCCAATATTTAACCATCTCTGGTTCCAAAAGTGACAATGTCACATATGTCCACCTAACATATTTGCTTCTAGAGAATGAAGGTGTGACTGCGGCTATGTGTCTGGAGAAAAAAGACTGATAAGAGGTGGTACTGGGTACTTTTCTTTCCTTTTTTTTTTTTAGACAGAGTCTCACTTTATCACCTTCTGTAGAGTGCTGTACCGTCACAGCTCACAGCAACCTCCAGCTCTTGGTCTTAGGCGATTCTCTTGCCTCAGCCTCCCGAGTAGCTGGGAATATAACACCTGGCTACTTTTTTGTTGCAGTTTGGCCAGGGCCAGGTTTGAACCCGCTGCCCTCATTATTTGGGGCCAGCACCCTATTCACTGAGCACAGGCGCCACTCTGGGGTACTTTTTTCTTTGTGCTTTTCTGATTTTCTAAATATCTGACCATGAATACATAATGTTTTTTAAAAACATACATAATAAAATTAAAATATGCTTTTGTTATTAAAGAAAGGGAAACATTCATCCTTTTCCAAAAGCAATTTTTAAAAATTTTGAAAGAACTTTTCAGGCCCTCTCATGAGCTTGTTACTCTTGATCCCATTTGACTGAGAGGAAAATAGAGGCTGAGAAAGTAAAGTTTGCTGCTCAGAGTACACCGCCGGCAGGTGAGGAACAGAGCCCAGAATGCAGAGCCACCAGCTAGAGCAGCAAGGGGACCATCCTCGACATCCACGTGGAGAGCCTGCTTGGGCTGGGAGCCACCTGAGACATCCCACTCAGCCTCTCCAAAGCAGTCAGCCCCAACTCAGGGCACCTGCAGGTTGAGCTTAAAGACCAACTAGTCCGAGCCTCAGGTTGAGAGCAGAGGCTGGAGAAAGGAATCAGTGGGCCCAGGTCACCAGCAAGCTGGGGCAGCTCTAAGACTTGGACCCCAGCTTTTCTGCAACACTGTGCTGGTCCCATTCTGAGTTTCAAAGCAGAGGAATCTGAAGAGACCCCTTGGCTCCACAGAGGAGAGACTGAGGCAGCTGGAGGTTACTGCTTGAGTAGGGGCTATGTGGGAATTTTGCGGCTTTGCCCCATGAAGACTGCACCCTTGACCACATGGCTCTCCCACGTGCCTCCCCGGTCAGGACCTCCGAGGGCTCTCTTACCTCCTGCAGAGTGTCCACCATGGTCTGAAGGTTCATACGCTTGGCCAGCTCCTCCTCCCATCTGCAAAAAGCAAGGACAGGTGGTCAGACAGTGGCCTCCCAGCTAGCCCAGCCCTCAGTCATAACACTGGTACCCACCCTGGGACTGTCCCTGGGGCTGAGAGAAAAAGGTACATTGGTGAATCCATCCCTGCCTGCTCCCCAGGGTGCCCCTAGCCTGGGGGGGTGGGGTGTGAGAGGACAGCCTCGCTGATGTGTAACCAGGATACCAGGTGGTAACCACAATTGCCATGCTCCAGCACTGTGGGAGGAGAAAGGCAGGAGGGAGCACCCCCTGCCTTCATGCAAACTGTAAAGTGCCCTGCGATTACCACTGTTCTCACTGTTGCTGCAAGATGCAGTTGGAAAGCTGGCCCTTAGGATCCAAGCCACAGCCGGTTCTACCCTGGGGCTCTTCTCTGCACTCACAGGAAACACATGTTTACCGTGTTAAGCTCTGCATCTCACAATAGATTTGTCCTGCAGCCTATCTTCACCAACCCAGAAATCTCCTACATAGGTGTTGTGAGTACTGTCCCATTTTACAGATGTGGAAACTGAGGCTCACAGGTTAAATATGCTGCCCCAAGACACACAGATAGTTCATGGGTAGGGTTGAAGTTCAAACCCAGGTCTGTTTTATTAAAACACGCCCCCTCCAAAATACAGTTCTTACTGCTTTAGCATTTATTAGGTGCCTCATTCATTTCATTTATGCAGGAGTGGGTGGAAGCTCAGCAGGAGAACAGAGGGAACAGGGGATTTCCAGTGCACCCCAGCCTTTGCTGCAGGAAAGGGTGGGAGTGGATGATACTAAACACCAGTGACACCTTTACTGAGACCTACTTTGTACAGAGCACTGTTCTACATGAAGTAATTCAATCTTCATAACAACTCCATGGCATGGGTACTATCATTATCCCCACATTGCAGGTAAAAAAGGAAAGCACAAAGTCACCAGCCCAAGGTCAGGGTAAGGGACGGTGGAGCCGGGACTCAGACCCCGTGGGGAAGCCCCAGACCGACTGTTCAGAATCCACCTTGCAGAGATCCCCCACAAATCCCAGAACCATCAAAGCCTGAAGGCTCTAGCCGGGACTCCCAACACAGAGCAGGGGCTCCCCTAGAGGAAGCTGGGGGCAGGTTCCTTCTCCCTCTCCTCCCTGAGACAGACAGACAGATGAGCTCCTCTCCTTCCTCATCCCACTGCTGCCCTCTCTCCCTGGCCTCTAAGCAGGGCAGTCTGGAAGCCTTTTAGGATGCTGTCAGGGCCAGCTAAAAATAGGCCAGAAGGGAGGGAGGGACGAAGGGAAGGTTACGTCACTGGCTTTTGGAAACAAGAGAAAACGAATACTGTTTGCACACATAGAGGAAAATTCCTCCCCTCTCCCACACGAGTGGGCCCTGGCCAGGGCTCCTGGAGGACACACACGCGTTCCCTCTCCCTGTACTTTTGCCTCTACCAGACTGACGTTAGGGGCTGGCCAAGAGCTGCATGGGCTCCAAGGTCCAGACCTAGAGGGTAAGGGGTGAGGGTCCTGCCAGGGCTGCAGGCCATGGGGGATGCTAAGGAGGGCCAGGGAGAGAATCTAAGGGCCTTATCCCGCCAGGCCCATCTCACTGGACCCTCTCACTGTACAGATAGAGAAACTGAGGCCCAGAATATACAAGTCCAAGGTCACCCAGTATGTCAGGGGCAAGGCTAAGAGGCCAGCCCCAGGCCACCTCTCACCGAGGACAGGCCCAGTGTTGAGGACAGGAATTGAGCCACTAGCCCACACCCAGCAGCATGAAGCATCTGGGCCTCCCTCAAGGGAGGTAAAGGCTCAGGACACGGGTCCTGAGCTGAATCATCTCTCCTGGCCATGCTACTCTGAGGGGGAAGGGGACTCGATTCCAAAGCCACCAAGCAGAGCGGGTACAAGAAGAGATCTGGCTGCCACCTGGTTTTTGGGCCCACCCTGGCTGAGAAGGGAATAGTGAGGGGTGAAGAAGGCCACGTGTTCCCCTTGGTCACATACCCTACTCCAGAATGAAGCACAGCACTCTCGCCTTTTGTTTAAGCAGCCATCGCACGAGGAAGGTGGGGCAGAGTCAAAGAGCCATTGTCCAGATGAGAAAATGAGGCCCAGGAAGGAAAAGGGACTTGTGTCCGTAACCGTGAAGGGGCAGACACAGTCTGGGTCCCACACACCAGGCATGCTGCCTTGTGTATATCCACCATCAGCTTCCAAGTAAATTATTAAACCTTGGGCTGGGGGGGCGGGTTTTTTACCCAAATCCATTTTGCAGATGAGGGAGCTAAAGTTTAGAGAGGTGAGGTAACTTGCCTATAGTCACACAGCTAGCAGGCAAGGAACTGGGGCTCAAACCTGGTCTGCTCTTGAAGCAGCGAGCCTGGAGCTAGCATGTGCATACAAGTCACCTTTGCAAATGAGGGGAGCTTGTTAACATGCAGACCCTGACTCAGCAGGCCCAGGGTGGGGCACTCATCGCAGATGGTACTTTGAGTGTCCAAGCTCTAGAGGGCCACACAGTCCAGTCCCTCCACCTTCACCCCTCCCCTCCCGCCCTGAGCTGTGCACCCGCCCCACACCTTGATCATGTTTCCTAAGCTCACCCCAGAGGATGAGCTTGCACAAAAGATTTCATGAGTCTTTTATTTCCAAAGCCTGGCTGGCTAGCCAGCTCCCAGGAGATCAGGGAGAGACCCGCATGTGGACAGCAGCTGGCTTGACAGATGACAGCCCGCTGCCCGCACAGACGTGCCTCTCAGTGGCTGTGGGACAGCCTGGCTCAGCTGGCTCCAGAGTTGACAGAGCAGAAAAGATCTGCCCTTCGGCCACTCGGGCTGCTAGGGTGATGGGCCAGGTGGGTGATGTGTTCCTTATGGTGCCCCAGACACCTACATCCCCTGAGTGTAGCTCAGATCAAGGAAGCACCCAGCTTAGCTCAAAACTGATTAACCGAGCTACCAGCTCTGAAGGTGCAATACCAGCTTCCCAGTGCAAGCCCTTCCCTGGCCCTGGCTCTGCCCAGGAGAGTGAGGTTTCAGCAGGGAGGTGGTTCCAGGCCAAGGGACCAGCATACACAAAGAGGCTAGCAGGAAAGCTCAGGCCAGCTGCCCGTCTGCCACCGAGAGGGAGGTGTGCCTACTGTGGGTCAGCCTGTGCTGTCCCTACTCTCGGCCCCAGCCCACAGCTGAGCAAAGGACTTGCTCAAAGTCACCACTGTTAGGAAATGGCAGAGTCTAGGTTCAAACTCAGGTCTGGCCAAATCCAACTCCTGGACCCTTTATGGCAGGCTGGGGTGAACTTAAAGAGACCATCTGGGGAGCACATGGGTCAGAGTTTCCTCAGAACAGTCCAGGAGCTGTTCTATTGGTCGAGGAGAGGTTCTTTCTTTTCTTTTTTTTTTTGAGATAGAGCCTCAAGCTGTCCCCCTGGGTAGAGTGCCATGGCATCACAGCTCACAGCAACCTCCAACTCCTGGGCTCAAGCGAGTCTCCTGCCTCAGCCTCCCGAGTAGCTGGGACCACAGGCGCCCGCCACAACGCCCGGCTATTTTTTAGTTGCAGCCGTCATTGTTGTTTGGCGGGTCCGGGCTGGGGATTCGAACCCGCCACCTTAGGTGTACATGGCTGGTGCCTTAGCCGGTTGAGCTATAGGCGCCGAGCTGAGAGGTTCTTTCTGATCAAAAGACCCCAGGATATTGAAGGGCCTATCACTAGAAGAAACTGGGGTGATATACATTCCCAACTCTCTCTGGGGGTGGCTGGAGCCTTTAAATATGTCTGCTCGATGCCACTGTCTCCTACGCAGTGGGCTATAAAGCTACCCTGTACCCATTGTACAGGCAGAAAAATGAAGGCCCATAGCCTATAGACAACTCAAGCCAGGGCCCAGAAGGCCCGAATCACGAGAGTCTCCCTGTCCACGCTGACCCAACAGCTCATAAAACTTGCAAACCCTTCTCTCTTCAAGTGTTGAGTGAAAGAGGGTCATTCGTTGCTCGCCTTCTCATGCTGTTCACCCTGTTATGCGTTCATGTCTATGGATAGAAAGTATCCCTGTGTCCTCCCTAAGGATGGTCTCCGTTCTGCAGATGAGGACTGCAGAGGCTCAGCTTCCCTTTTCCCTCCCTCCTGAAACATTATCCCTTCTCCCAGGCTTGTCTCAAATGGCATCTCTGCCCCAAGCCTTGGCATCCACTGCAATTATTTTCCTTCCTCTAACTCTGCCAGCTTGAGGCAGGGGGAGCCCCAAGTCACAGGGCCCCTGGATCTTGTCCCTCCAGGGGTCTTGGTACAGTGAATGCACGCCACACAGCTCTCACCCAAAGGAGCCAGCCCCCGGGCGCCAGGGACAGTGAAGGGCTCCACCAGTCTGTCTGTCACCTTGTGGGCTAGCACCATTCCGGGGCATCCTGGGCAGGGAGGAGAGACAAGGAGGAAACAAGAGAAGCGATCCCTGGTATAGATGGAAAACAGCAGGGAGAAGGAGCCCGGTCTCAGGCTGGGACCAGCCTCCCACCATCCAGAGGCCGGTTATAATTACCACTCCTGTGCTCAGGAGTCAGATATTTATTGAGTGGAGTTGATGAATGAATGAATCCAAGCAGCACTCACTCCTTACCTCCTCCCCCAGCCAGAGCCCCTTTCCCCTGGAGCATCCTTAGCCTGCACCTCCCAGCCTGGGGGCCTCCCAGAGCCCAGTTCCCAGCATAGCCCTTGTCCCAGCCATCCATGTGGCTCCAGAGCCTCTCCCAGGAGAGGCCAGGCCAGGGGGAGGGACGCCAGGGCAGGAAGCAGGAGAAACCTTCCCTTTCCCACTCCCCACAGCCCTGGGGGCGGGGGAAGCAGGGATGTCAGGACAAAGAGCGCAGTGAGAGGAAATGACTCCATGAAGAGCTGAGAGCCCGGCCTGGGCCACCATTTTAGCAGAACAAGCACTCACAGGAGGCTGGTGGCCAGAAGGGGGAGGTGGCAGCACTGCCCCAGCCAGATGTGGTCTCTCCACATTC